CCAAGTAAAGCAGGTGGCCAAGATCTACTACGTAGCATCAACTTTATCAGATCATCCTCAGAGAAGGAAAAATAGCTCTTGGCTGTTTGGGGAAAAGATCACAGGGTGGAAGAAAAACTGTTCTAGAGCATAGGTCATAATTCTTACAACCAATAAAGCAAACTACAGTTTTCTGACTCAGCATCACAAAATAATACATTTTAAAAAAGCACTTCTCTTCTGAGGAAAGTGTTTATTCTGTGTTGCCAGTTAAATGTGGAAAAGCATATTTACACATGGGGCCTCAGTCCTAAGTTTAAATTATGCCTGTGCCAAAGAAACAGCTTACCTAATTTTCCCTCAAAAGTATCTCATGCAGCAGCACAGCTCATTTATTCACCCAATGTTTCAACTGCAACAGAAGAAAGAAGTTGTTAATCTTTTGGGAAGGGAGATGCCCAAGATACCACAAAACTCCCACTGTCTTATGCAGATTTAAGCCAAGCACTGGGTTCTGTGGTTGCTTGGCAGTGCAGCAGCCACTGCACTGAGGTACCTCAAGTTACACTGTGGCCAAAGCACCATGTTCAGCTGTGATTCCTTGAACTCCTTCTTCCAGAGAGTAAGAGAAGAGGAATTTGAACAATGCTATTTCTGTCATTTGTTTGCTTAGTAACAAGGCTGAGCTCAAGTCAGCTTTTATAAAATCTTGTGAGTTTCAGAATAAGGTTTGGGGTTTGTTTTTTATTTTTTTGGTTGTGGTGGCAGTGTTGTTGTTTGATTTGTTTTGGTTTTGGTTTTGGTTTTAATTTGTTTTGGTTTTTTAAGGATAAGGAGTTTTCATCTTTAGCCAGAGATTTGAGAAAAGGATCCTACCATCTTTACTCAAACCAATGCTCCAGGAGTATTACCACAGGCAGTCCTGACTCCTGATACTTGGGAAGCATCTAACTTTAGGGACATGGGTTGTTCCCCCCAAAAAATCACAAAACATGAGATATCAATCAAAAGGATTACAGTCCCTCAAGTAGCCCCTGACTCTTTGGTTCACCTACATCCCCTGTTCAAATATCAAAATTTACAACAATTCAAAGAGGATTGTGACTCTAACGTCAATTTTTGGTCTCATAATCGAGACATTGGGGCAGCCTAATCATTCCAGCAACTGGGACCTTGCATGCCCTAAATCTACTCACAAGCATGGGACGTTGGCTAGCCAGAGGCGAATGCAACCAGCGCAGCACTGGAAGACCTCTTACTGGATTCCCAACAAATTGAAAATGCTAATTTACAAAATAGAGCATCCACAGATTTTCTGTTATTAGTTAATGGACATGGGTGTAGTGAGTTTGAAGGTCTATGTTGCTTAAATTTCTCAGACCACTATCAGTCTATCCATTCCCAAATAAACGAACTCCGCTCTCTCATTAAACAGATCCAAAAATCAAATGAGGTTAGTTGGGATGACATGTTTGGTTGGATGTCTTTAGAAGGACTCTTATCACCCCTGAAAAAATTTTTATTATTTCTGCTTTTAGGGTTGTTTGTGTTATTAATCCTTCTGTGTGTTCTCCCCTGTGTAGTCAAGTGTCTGCAAGGTCTGGTGATGCACAATGTTTCTCAAGTCTATGCTTCATTATTAAATAAAAACGGAGGAATTGTGAGAGACAAGCTGTAGAGGAGAAACAGACGTGAGTGCAGTTTCTCAAAGTCAGCACAGGAAAGCCTATATCGCAAATCTATTATTCCAGATTCTCCTTTACTGTGTAAAAAACCTCTTTCACTTTGTGCACGTGGCCACTCTTGGCAGCGCCGTATTAGTCCTGCCTCCAGAGCCAGACCACAACCCTATCCTAATCCCATTGGTTGTATCACCTCTCCCTCCCCAGTTCCTGGGTTACTACTGGGTGTTAAACGTCCCTGCTCCTCTCATTGGCTACCCAAATAGCCGAGCCCCTCCCTCCCTTCCAGCAGCCTTATAAGCTGCAGGAAATTTGAATAAAGTCTCTCCGTCTCTGAACAGCCTGTGTCATCTCGTCTAGCCAGCACTAAGGCTTGCATCACTGCAGCCCCGTCTTTACTAGACGGACCGCAGAGAGGGTTTTTCCCTAAAAACCCTGTCACATTCACACACTTTGACTTTTTGGGGAAAAAAATAATCTTGTTTGTTACGTTTCACTAGTAACTTAGTAGTTCCATGTGTTTTCTTGATTTCCTGAAATACACACGGCCTCATCTCTCCCTTTTGTTAGAGAGAAAGTTCATGGTGAGCTTATACTCACCTCTTTGTGGGCAAATGTAATTCAAGCAATTATAAACACAAATACTTGATAAGTTCTAGTTGGAGCATAGCCATAATAAAAATTCTGATACAAGTTGCCTCACTTTCTTCTAGAATTGCATTCGTTTCATGAACGCCTTAGCTTTGAAGATTACTTCATTGCCAGCAATCCTTGTGTTCTGCCAGAACACTGGGGAAAAGCTTTATTTCAAGCAAAGAAGAACATGTCAATTGATGAAGACAGAGCTGTTGTAAGTCAAACAGTTAAACTTATTCTGACTCTGTGTGTAGTAGGCTTGGGGATTTGTTTTTCTGAGTACACTGTATTGTGTGAGGGCAGCTCTGAGCTAAACAGAAGAAAATGGAGTTTCAGTCAGTACAAGTTGTAACTCTCAAGATAAGGTTAATAAGAGCATCTCACTGCATAATGCAATGCCCTTCTAGGGGCACAGTTAATTAGTACAGCATTCACTAGGGATCCCAAATGTAACATAGTCCCCTGAATTAGGAAAATGTGCAGCTGACAAAAAGAGTAAACTCATCCCAAGTAGGGGTGCCTGCAAGAAGAGAAACATGTAATCAATGATCACAAAATGGCAGATATAATCTGGTTTTCACAAACAAATTCAGGAAGGAAATGTTGCACTTCCTTTGAGACCCAGCTGATTACATTTACTGCTGCCACCTCCAGAGACATGGGCATTTGCTCTCACCATGCACTTAGAGCTCAGAGATTTTGAGAATAGATGCCTTTATTTATGAGCAGTGATGTCCGAATATTTTTGTGGTTTCTCCTCCACCAGACTGAAAAATTTCTAACTCTAACCATCTGTATTACAAACGTCTCAGCACCTTCAAATTGCATGCTATTTAAAAAATGAGCAAGATACTTTAGTTATAGGAGAAGGATAAAGAAATTAACACTTCATCACCTGGCTGTCCAGAGTTCACTCTGCAGCAAGCCTGAATCCGAAGCTAGCGATGAACATGTGGTCCCTCAGGATAAAAACCACACTCTGGTAAATGCATTAATATCACTTTGCAGTTGATATATTTGTCTATCCTGGACAGAGTAAAAGCTATAGAACAGCACAGCCATCTTTGCCAGGGCCAAACTACCAAAACATAGGCAAATAATCTGCCTAAATGAGTCACAATTATATTGTACAGTAATTCAAAATCTGGTCACAGGCGACCACTGGACTAATTCAACTGTACAAGTGGGTTTTGACAGCTCCTCTCAAGAACTGTCTTTCTCCCTGCATGATTAGGGAAACAAGACAATCACCTTGTTTTTTCCAGCACCATGATATGTATTTGTGCAGCATTTATTGAGACCAGTAGGAATTTTCCCTGTGCTTAGATTTGAAAACATATACTGATATCATCAAAACCTCTGGCCTTCAAAAATACATCAACAACTGTAATATCTACATACTATTTTGTTATCTGTTGTTAATTCCTAATAACAAGCCAGCATGAATTTGTTGTTTGATTACTGATAGAATTATACCTGGTTTATACAACCATGTTTACAGATATTATTTTTCTATTAAAAATTAGGGGGAAAAACCCAATGCATTTGAGACAAGCAATGCTGCAAAAGCATTAGGAGATGAGTTCCACTAGTAAACAACTTTTCTTATTAACATCCATTCCTTTCCCAGAATACGTCTTATTTCAATGATATACGTTTTTCTTTAAAATGAGAAAAACTTCTACTATAAAATTATGCTATTTCTAGAACTGTTATCAGCAGTCTTTAAACAGTAGGCTGAACATGCACAACAGTCTGAACTTTCTGAGCTCATCATGGCCTCTGATATTTGCTTAAACTATTATAAAAGGGAGTGAGAGAAAAAAAAATGAAGTTAAATGGAGCAGCCAATTCTCAGCTTTTTCCCTTATGATACCCACCAGCCTCCCAGCCTACAAACTCAGAAAGCAAAGCAACACCTTAAGAATCTCCTACTTGTCAGGATAAACATGCCTAATGGCAGACATCTCCTTAGCCCCCACCCCCGCCGGGAAAGGCTCTCCTGCGCTCCCCTCAAGCTGTGGCTGGGTCTCAGGTGCCTGAGGTTTCTCAGTCGTCCTTTTAACCCTTTTTAACCCCTCAAGCAGCCAAGCCAAAATATGAATCTGCTGAACGAAGATCTCCGTTCTGTCCAGGATACATTTTTCACTTCCCGGGGATCCCTACTGCGAGGGGCGCGGGGATAGAGAGGCATTTCCAGGCGATGAGCTGAGCGAGAGGGATAATTCCTGGGCAGGAGCGGGCACTGAGACACAAGGGCACACGGCACGGGACAAGCTATCGGAGGAGGGCCGGGCCTGCTCAGCGATGGGGAGGGTGAGGACGGGGCGCTGTCCGTCAGAACCCGCGCCCAGCAGCGTCCCTTGCCAGCCCCTGCGCCGCCTCTGAAGTTCCCAGGCGAGCGGACGAGCTCGGGGGGTGCCGGCCGCGGATCCCGCGGGCCGGGGCTGAAGACAGACCTGCCCCCGGGGCGGAGAGGGGCACGGAGGCCGCTCCCGCTGCCGGCAGAGCTGCGCAGCGCGGCCCCGCCGCCGCTCCCGCCCCCGTGTTCAACTGGTGGGACCCCCCGGTCCGCCCCCGGCAGCGGCGCGGGGGGTGCGGCGGGGCGGCCCGGCCCGGCCCGGCCCGGCCCGGCCCGGCGGGGCGGGCGCCGCTGGCTGGGGATGAGGGCGGCGGCCCGGCGGCTGCAGGCAGGCGGCGGGCAGCGGCGCGGCGCCTGACCGCAGGGCTCCGCTCCGCTCCCGAGGATGCTGCGGGGCGATGCCCGGCGACAGGGAGGACGAGATCTGCCAGAAAGCGCTGCAGCTGCTGGCCGAGCTGTGCTCCGTCGGGGCGGTGGAGAACGAGAACTGCCGCGATTTCATCTACTACCTGCGGGACAGAGCCCGGCCCCGCCTCAGCGACTCAGGTACGGCCGCCGCCTTCGGGGGCGCGGGCACCGGCAGCCTCCCCCGGCCCCGGCTGTGGGAGGAGGGCGAATACCCCCGCCATCCCTCGGCAGGCGGCCGCCGCGGGGCGAGGCCTGCCGGCGCAGCAGGGGCTGCCCGGAGCGAGCGGCAGCGGAGCGGTGAAAGTGGAGGGGGGGATGCTCCCGAGAACGCGGGGCTGGGGGGAAATTTGCCCGGCCTGATCGGGGTAGGACGCTGCTCTGGGCTCGGCTGCGCCTGGCGCTGGGTTGCAGCGCCAGATACCGGGGGAGATGCAGAGCCCGAGCCCGCAGCGCTGCCCGTGCCCGTGCGAGCAGCGGGTGCGGAAGCGCAGGGGGAGGGCGGGCAACTTTCTGCCGCCGCCGCTCGCCCGGAGCGGGTCGGAGCCGCCCTGCCTGGCGCTGCCGCGGCTCTGCTGCAGTGCCGGGAGCCCGGGGCTGCTCTTGTGCCGCCCTGTCCCTCCCGGTGCTCCGGGGTTAAGCGCAGAGGAGAAGGCGTCATAGCCCAATGTAACTGGAACGCGATTTAACCTAACTTCCCAGTTCTGTGTGTCACAAACTAAGAAGACTATTCCTCGCAATTCTGTAGGTACAAGTAGAGATTGTGGGGCTTGCAAGATGTTCACCGGCTGGTTGTGTGTTTGTATGTCAGAATTATGGTCGTGTGCGTCAGGATTATGGTTGCCTTTTTGCATCTTGGCAAATCCTACTTAAAAAACTTTAAGGAAGCTTTCTCATAAGGAAGCTACACAAAAACGTGGAAAGACTGAGGATGTGCCTTATGTCTGTGGCCATAAGGGAAAGGCAAATTGCAGTTTAAAGTAGGAGCTTGTTATATTTATTTTTGCATCAAGATGGGTTTGCTCATTGTGAGGAGAAATTTAGAGAGTTAAAAGAGAAGTTGAGAAACATTTGCAGTAGTGGGAAGCCTTGCCGTTAGATCAGCTAGTCATCACAGCACAGTATTAATTTATTATTCTCTGAAATAAATCAGTACACTTCGCGTAGGGCAGTCTAGTGACACTATTCTTACATATTTTTTTTGTGATTTGTTGAGCCTGAAGTAACACTCCGAGTGAAACTTACTGACAAATCCTTGCATATGCTAAAAGGCCTGGATGAAATAAGTAAAATTAAGAATAAAAAAGAATTGAGAGGGGAAAAAGATCTGCTACCACAACAAATGAATAAGGAATTTTCCATCATTCAGTTCACTTGTATCCAAAGCTATTTGCAGCCATTCTGGCTTTTCACTACTTGAAATATTCAAATTGAAGTGATTTATGCAATGTTTGATAAGGATTCTTTAAAAATAGGCAAACTTAGTTGTTGGTTCATATTTAATTACTTTGTTCATATAAGCAGTAATTTTTGTGGCAGACACCTGTGATTTTCAGTAATTTTCATTTACTAAAGGATCAATCACATATTTGTGTATCAGGTCATGATTCCAAAAATATCTGCCTAAATCAGTGCTCACTTTGGATACAAAACTACTTGAAATGCATATGGAGACTTTAACCTCAGCTACTTGGATAACAGCTTTTCAGATTTCTTTCGGAAGCTACCTGCTTTTTCTCCATCAGCCTCGGGCAAAAAGAGTACCTGGCATCTGTTTGGGAGCATTTTTAAAGCATGATGTGCTCAGTAAAAATTTATCACCTCTACCTAAAAAATGTGTATTTATTTCTGCCTGTTTTGTTTCAACTGTTATTATACAACAGCCTTCCAGTATTGTGCAAACCTGCTCAGTTACACAGAGCAGCAGATCCTAACCTTCGCCAGCCAATTGCAACAACAGTGAGCAATTATGCTGCAGGCAGCATCTTCCTATTTGCCTCAATTGTAACATTTTTATTTTTTGCAGCTGCAGCCAGTCTCAGAGGGTCTATGTTATCCATAAGCCCTGACTTGGAAAGCACTTCTGTAAGGTAGCAATGTCAGGAATTTCTTAATTTACCTAGTCTTATATTTCTTTGATTAAATACATATATTGTCCCAGTAAAATGTCTGCTCATATGGTTTGTTTAGCAAGTCCTTAGATATGAGGGTGTGGCCTGTAAGAAGGCAGTGTATGTGACTTCCAAAATGAAGCAATAGGATTCACAATCAAAGGGCAGTACACTAACCAAATCCAGCCTGCTTTATATAGTGAGTTTCATTGACTCAGCAAGGGCAAAATGGCCTTAAAAAGAAAGCCCTGACAGCTAAACCATTCCCTTTCCAGCGACTAGTGGTCTAAGCATACAGATGTCAAGAAAACCCATGCTGAAAGACAGCATCTCCTTGTCAGAACTGGGCAAAAGATGAAGCTGTCCTTGTTCCAACTTACTGCCCCCCAAGGTGTGAAGGTGATGTGAATTAGCCAAACTGAGTAACTTGCTTTTAGACCACCCGAAAAAGCAACGTGTATAACTGAGTTGAGAAAAGTGCAGCTAGAAAACATACACCTGATTAGGTTTTGCACAGGAATCAAAGCATGGGGAAATGCTTACAAGTTTTTCTGAAATAAAATGGCTACTTGCCTAAACCCATGGTGGATATAGACAATTTTACAACACTTTGGTTGGAGCCATTTATGCATGTTGGCTCTGTCCCCTGTCAATATTTAGAAAAATCAAGCCCTAACTGAGGGAGATAGTGAGCTGAGGGGTTACTGAGCATGACAGAAGTATTTGTGTAAAAGCTCAGCCTCCTGGCACCCCTCAATCCCAGCATGGAGCAGCCAGATCCCTGGAGATCCACTTGTTTCTTGTCTGACATCTGATGCAGTTGGCTTTGTGGCTCCCTGCTGTCTGAGGCTTTGGTGTGTGACTCAGACCAGGAGGGAGGAGGACAGGGACAGGAGGGGATTAGATGCCTGTGGTATATGCCACATCTTTATTTTTCATGTAATTTGCCCTGTTGTGGGAAGCCCTGCATATGCAGTATAAGCTTAAGGGCTGATGAAATCTGGGTTTTATGCACTGGTCCACTGGATAAAAAGGGTGACATGGGTGAGTCAGATTTTAAAACTTTTCAGAAAACTTAAAATGCAAATTATCCATTTAGTGAAAAATCTTCAATTAGTTCAATAAGGGTTATAAGTCAGAGAAACCTTGAAAATCCTAATAGGCATTCTTAAGCGTTTCAGTACATTAATAAGCTGACTCGTTTTCTGTTCCATTGTAAAACATCGATAATATTTCTGTATCACAAAAGGGTTTTATGAGGGTAAATTGCAAAGTCTGAACAGATCAAGTATGTAATACATTCATAAAGGAGAGTTGTGTGAATCTTTTGGAGATATTCAAGTGAAAATCGCATTTGTCATATGGACGTTTGAAAACAATCACTCAAGATCATGTAATATCACCCCATGACACCAAATAAAGCAAATATTGTAGATGAGGAATTGAAGTTCCTTGAGCAGAAGAATTACATTAATATGTAAAAAAAAAAATAAATCAAAAACCAAAACAACAAAAAAAACCCCAATGAAGGCAGAAAATCTTAATGGAGAGACTAACCACTAAAAGAGGAATTAAGACAAGGAAGCTTCTCATGAAGAAAAAAGTCCAGGCCATTAATCATAATTAATTCTAATTAATTTTATAGGAGAAAAAATGAATAGAAATAAAAACTAAAGTTCACTCTCCTTTTCTGTTGTGTTTAATTAAACATCTTGAGGAAGAGCCAGTAAGGTCCTAAAATGTTCTTAATTTTGTTCTTTGAAATTGACTAATAGATGCTAAAACAGAATACGTGATGAATGTTGTGGGTATGGTGATGGCCATTAAGCATAAAGTATGCTTCAGGTCATAAGTTTGAGATCAATATTGTACAGTAACAGAAAGTCAGATTTTAGTACTTGATGGAGGTAAAGATAGTCGACAATCAAGAAATTAAAAAATGTGGGCATGGAAATGGGGTGGATATTGAAGACAAAATGTACAAGAAAGTGCAGTTATGGTCTTGCATTGGAATTTGTGAATCTTATGAATCAGTACTTTTTTTTTTAGTGTATATTTTCAACTTCAGGAAACAGAAAAGCACAGAGAAACAAAAAAGCCTAACAGGTCTCCAAAGCCACTGGTGGAATGTGAGAGCCACGGTTTTCTGTGGAGAGGATCATTCCGATAGAATGGTCATTCCTTACGAAGCTAATACTTGCAATTAAATATTATTCCAGCAAGTTTCCTTTAATTCAGATCAGAATTTAAAAACAAAACCTGTCTTCAGAAAGAATTTTAAGTTCTTAGAAGGGTATTTATAAATTTTTGTAACTCAGATTGCACACTGATTTATTCCCTGCCTCACCTCCCCAAGTATTCCAGGGACACATCAAGCTGCAGAGTTTCATCAAGATGCTAAGTACATCTAAATTTATCTAGATAAATCCAAAAAGCATTTACAAGTTGCAAAGACATAAAGAAGATCTGAGTGGGTGAAATAACTTTCAGTATGTTTGTTATTTTTATTTTACTCTCTATGAGCCATTGCTTTCCATATTTTTAATTTTCTTTTTCTCCTGCAAAAGGAATGTAAAGTCCTGCTGCTCCAAATTGATAGTATTCTGTATGTCATGCCAGTGCAAGAGTGCAGGACAGAGGACAAGTATGTGTCCCAGTTTAAATGAGACAAGAGTCTTCTGCTGAGGATGGATTAGGAGAAAAAGACCCAAACTTCTTTTTCTAAGCAATTATAAATCCGAAATTAAGAGGCTCCGATTGAAGGAAAACAAATTATGGAAAAGGAAAAAATAACAGCCCTTTATTAAAAGGTATGTGTGTATTAACAGGAACACGAAAAAAACCAAGTAAAACAACCAAGTGATACTCCTATACCCACCAATAATTCCCTTCAAGAACAAAACCAATAAACCGGCAAAAGGGAAATTAAATAGTTCAATTTTTAGCACCCTCTGGTGCAGTTCCAACCACAGTCAGCAGGGGGCGCCGTCGGGTCACTGGAGATGCAAAATTTGTAATATCCTGTACCAT